TATGGCTATTCGAATTTTAAACTTTCTGATATAACACAGTTTAACAAAATCATTTTTCTCTTTTTGAAGTGCCATAGTACATATTCCGAAGATTTTTCTGCACTGAACACGATGCCGTCAGAATTTGCGTAGCAACAGGATTTTTAGATTAGGATGAAATGAGTAAAAAGTTATCTCCCATTTTTCTATTATATTCCAATTTAGTACAAATCCTGACGATATCGTTCAGTGCGAAAAATCTTCGGCTATATATTATAATATTATAATACGCAGAGAGTTTGTATGTTGAACAGAGTTACATAGGATGCTCAAGCATGATAAGTAATACTACAAAAAAAACTACAAAAAACTATTACAAAAAAAAGTTTTAACATTTCAGCTGGAGCATATTATTTCTTCTACATTTTATTTCGATGATCCAACAAAATTATTTTCAAATTTATATTTAACCAAATTTTTTAATATTCTAGCAAAATCGTTTTTTCTAGAATTGCTGTATTTATTAGAATCGTAGGAGTAAAAATTGGAATCCGCGAAAGTCGTTCGAAATAAACGTGAAAAATAATTAAAATGACAAAATCGTATACACGCACGAATGTTAATAAAAAAATCGTTAAATGAATGCTGGACATGTGTTCGCAAATCACGATGATCGGCGCACGATAACGCATTGTCGCTGTGGAATTCTCAATCGACAAAAGGACGACATTCTCATACAGGTCCACAATGCTTTTCTCATCGGCTCACAACGAAAAGCGATCCATCCCGGAATCCATGGAGAGATTCGCGAGCACCGCTTGGCATTTATCTCGAGAGTTAGTCCGACGAGATGGTGTAATAAGCACGTCTGCACGGGCCCGTCCAAAATGCCAAACGAGCCCTTGCCCTCCTCCCTGTCTTTCTCTCTCTTTCTCCTGCTTTGACATTTGAAAAAGATCTGCCCGGACGACGCCCGCGGGTGATTACGGGCGTCGTGTGGCATTGCGTTGAGAGAGACGGCGGCGCCGCTGCCACTTTCGAGAGATTGTATGTCACGATATTGTAATATTTCGATCTATCGGTCTATCATTAGTTGGCGCGTGAGACGATCAGCATCCGATCCGCAAATGAAACTGTGTTCACGATCGTTTCACTTTTGACCGCAAATCCATGACGGCGTCGACAATGATGATGATAGATCGGAGCTGTGCAGCACGATAGTGTTTCGTTCATGTATAATAATATTGCAAGAAAATGCAAAACGACAGCAAGGAACGACGAACGAATATTTATTCGCTTCATTTCTCAGCGTTATGTAAAAATCTTAGATCATCGTAGAAAGCTGCTGCGCGATGCAGGCAAATTTTCGCGATCTGCCGATCGATATAAACAAATATTACGTAAAACACTCAGACGTTAGTGATAACGTTAATAATATCGTTTACGCGACTTTCCAGCAATTACGCTCGGGAATGCCTCATTTTCTATCCGGCGTTCATACTTGGCCGTCGATATACGTATCCGGATTTGCGACACATACGAGCTGTTCTACCGGAAGCACGGAAAAATATAGCTAGATAAAGATCTGAAAATGATTTTATTGGCTTATCAAAATAGTTATGTAGGGTGTTGAAGTTGGCTGCTCTCTAGAATATCTTTTACCACACTTGAATTTTCTATACAATTATTTTCTACAAAATTATTTTCAGATTGATGGCTATAATACCTATATTTTTAGATACTTTAGAAAATTGTTCTTTCTATCCAAAACGCGCAAAAGTTTGAGCTTATCATATATATTTCAGTTTTCTACATAATTATTTTAATAGCTCAATAAAATTTTCAGATCTTTACGAAAAGAACGGTATTGTTGAAGTTTTAAATTTAGCTAGATGTAGATAAGAAAATACTTTTATTAGACTATCAAAATAATTATGTGAAACGTTTAAGCTGAAATTTTTAGATATTTCAGCAAAATCCTTCTTTTCATGTATCTTAAATTTTTAATGCTTCAGCAAAATGTTTCTTTCTATGTGAAATGCATGAAAGCTCGAGTTTATCGTATTCGAATTGCTAATATAATTATTTTAATGGTCTAACAAAATTATTTGCCAATCTGAATTAACATAAATTTTTAGAGTTCAGCAAAATCGTTCTTTCTGAGTAAAACACGCGAAAGTTTGACGTTGCAAACTGATCGATTACAAATTCGTGAATAACTTAAATTGCTAGAATCGTTGCAACACTTCATCGCTACAATAAAAGAATTTCAATGGACGATTTCAATGGAAGATTCGCTTCCCTATCGGAGGAACGACTTACTGCGGTTTAAAGCAGATAAACTAAGAAGCGATTAAGGATTGTTAATTGAATCCATGATGCACAAGAAATATAAGTACTATCGTCATTTCTCCGATGGTATCTCAATGGCGACGCAGTTTCTGCAATCCAGACATTTTGCTCGTACTTTTAACATGCTTCAAACATATTATTTTGATTTTATCTTAATTTACTTTGATTTTATGTGCCGAAATGCTAAGCGATCAAAGGAAGTCATTATTTTTTCGACCTTGGCAAACTTACATCATTTTTCATCACTTTCTCAGCGTAAATTTTTCTGAAATGCCAGTGATGACATTCCCGTTTAGGCAAAAAAATGTTAGAGATATTCTCATTTCATTCAAAAATACTGAAAAAAATCGGAACTTCAGTTCTCAACATTACAATGTTTGTTTTAATAATAATACTAAAAACTTTATTGAAATGTAAGTAGATATAAAAGGAACTACATGAAAAGAAGTCCGATTTAATTTACACCACAAAACACTAAATATCAGCAATAAAATAAAGCTATTTAACAAATCTAAATCTAAAAACTAAACTATATCTAAAATATAAACATAATATTAATATAAAAGAGTTTACTTAATAATGTAATATATAGTTAAATAATTTAAATAGGAAATAAAAAAATAAGTAAAATAATTAGCGATGTGTGAAATGATCAAAATAACAGGAAAGAAAAACTGAAATTTGAATATAAAGTTAATTGTGTAAAGTTAATTTGTTTTAAAATTATTCTGATTCGCCGATTTTATTAATTTTACAGCGTTTCAAAAGATTTATGCATGGATACATTCCCTACTATTATAAAGAAATATTCTATAATGATTGGTCATACGATCCTTTTATCATTCTTATATTACTCATCATAAATTTCCATATCGCTGAATTTAATTTATGTACTTTCAATTAATATAACCATAGAGATAAAATCTATGAGAATAGCGAAACGTATTCCGCACGGGAATTTTTTGCGAGAACGTATAAAATAATGAAACAGCATTAGAGCCAAGAGATGCAGATACGTCTCTTTAAGTTCCTAGGTCGAGGTTATATGCTTGGAACCTACCCCATCGATGAATTACTGTACCTTGTACTTTCATACTGCTGGGAAATTATTGACCAATTACTCTTCCCTTCCTACGTACGATCGTGCGATTAATGATCGTCAAGATCAAAATATCTTCAAGGAGATATATCTAAATTTACATAACTTTATAGGATTAAATCTGCATCCAGCGTGATAGAAAAACTCATCGCTATTATAAGTTTTGCACTTCATGACATGTTCAATTATTTTCGAAACTCATTTCATTTAAACATTATTATATTAATCATAAAGTTACGTTGCTTTCAAGGTAAAAAGTACATTCACATTGAATGTCGAAGACTGCTGATTATCGAGTCAATAATTGTTCAGCATTTGCATGGAAAGATGCGATAGCATTTGCTCCATTCAGATCCAATCATATCCATAATCGTCGTGACGGTATATCATGACTTGGAATGTCTCAGAAAACAAGGTGTCTCGACGATTTCATACGTACCTGGATCAACGGAGATACGATTTGCACGGTGGCAATACTCAAAGATGAGAAAGAGGGGACCTGATCGTACACCGTTGTGGTGGTGGCAATATAAGGCCCGACCAGTGGCGGGCCTCAGCCAGTCCGTGAGCGGTACCTACACCTTCAAGGTCCGCGTCCTTGAAGGCATTATTCGTCCTCGCCCGACTCGTGTGCCGTTACATGAAGAAGATCGCTGTTAAGCATTTCGCGGCCAAGTTCTAGCCTGGATCCTCTTCATCCTAGAACTGGAGTCCTGTTTGAGCATTTAATTCTCCTACCTCGTCCCGGAAGTGGTGAACGGGTACGTTGCTACGTTGCTACCCCACCCCGATCGGTTCCCTTTTATCCCTTCCTGAACAGTAGCGTTTCGAACGTCAGTTGAACGGGAGTGATTGAGGGGTAAAGAGGTGGGTGATACCCTGGAAGCAGCTCGTGGCAAGACGACGACGACGAAGACGTGGTCAAGAAGAGGAAGTTGTATTCTTTGCCGAGGAGCATGAGGTCCTCGTTGGTGCTGCTCCTGATAGCAGCTTTCGTCCTTGCCGGTGAGTAACAGATTTTTCTGTTCAACTCTCTCGTTGTCGCCGATATCGTTCTACATCGTTCTACACCGGTATATGCGGTTATCATATTTCCGCATCGATCTTAGATATTGATAGAGACGGACCATATATGTATTGTTAGAGCAAGGAGAATGTTGAAATTAGAAAAGGATTATGAACACATTGATTCATTTAATTGAAATCGGAATTATTTTGCCAGCTGCTCACTTTTACATCAAAGAACTCTAAAGAACGCCGCGGAAATAATTAAACTACTTGCAGCCTTTTCACTAATTTTCTAAACTCATAAATAATTTTATATGTTCTAAGTAAATAGTTCTGTTTATATATTCGATGTATTTTCGATGAAACAACATATGAAAGTTCTCCAAACGTTATCAATCGTAACTTATATAAGAAACGATTCTTACAATGATTTGAGAATTTCATGATCTGGATCAAATTTTTCTGTTAAATACAGTAATTATTTTCTTACAAATAGCCGTTTTATTTAGCCTTCATTTTCTTTATACATCGCATTAGAATTGCATATAAGAATCGTAATCTGACTTTACCGGAAATGATTCGCGATATCGTAGTGATATTGAACGTACGTTCTTCAAAGCGCTGATAATCTTGAATAATTAAAATCATATATTAATTAAATTATGAAAGACATGCTTATACATATCTTTTAAGGAGAAATCATGAATAAATATCTAAAAAATGCTGATCAATTGCAAAGATTAATATGAAGAATAATTTAATGAGAAATATCTCGAGTATCGCACAGGTGGACACGTGAGATCGTGCAGAGCCATTCAAGATGGCGAAAGTGCCGTTGCAATCTGGCGCTTGACATTTTCTTAGTCTATTCTTGTACTTTCCACCCTGAGATTTCATAGTTGATTCTCTATTTTTCTAAACCGGAGACAAGCAATGCTTGTGGTGATAAAAGGGATAATTTAATATAATCGAGTCGATCATCGGGACAGGTTGCATAAGAGATTAGAGCGTGAAAGCTTCTCGATCCGGTCGGTCCCGGATGGGTGACGTCACTGCCGTGCCCCAAGCCTCTGAAAATGATGCGGGTGGGGGCACAACTTTCCCTGTTTGTCGCTCAGCCGCAAAGTTGTTTCGCTAGCCCTGGGGACTAACGGGATCAAGTACGTTTTGACAGATCATTTTTTCTGATCTCAAAGAAATTCTGAATAATGTCCTTAAAAAAAGCTTGACGATTTAAACTTGATGATTTAAATATCATTCATAATATTCTCAAGTTCACAATCTTGTTGGACAAGTCTTATCTCGTTTTTCCGTGTACTTTTTTAATATACAGAAAAATTATATATAT